TATTTGTAAATGAATTTGAATGAAATCTTTAAATTTGAAGTAGCTAGCCGAGAGAAATTTGCCTTAATATTTGCTGATTTGCTCCCTTATCTCCTTTATATTGGACTTACTATTTCAAAGTTTTCTAGCATTGTACTTTTATATTGGAATTCCAAATTTCTCAAGCCTGCACGTGGCTTAACATCTGATCTGTTTTCTCTTGGACCTGCTCATTTTGACAGAAACTAAGTATGAAGTTTCTTCATTCTTTCTTCCCTCTATCATTTCTGGCAGTTTATTTTTGAGGCTGCTGCAAAGTTTTGTGTTGATATAGCTACTCATCAGCATGGGTGTTGTGTACTACAACGTTGCGTTGATTATGCAATGGTAAAGTATCAAGATAGGCTGCTCAAAGAAATATGCAGACATGGGCTTTTCCTAGCTCAAGATCCATTTGGGTAATCTGCCTTTGATCTTGTACCCGTAAATATATACTGTTTGCTTTTTTTATATTTCCTCAAAGAAACCAAGTGATACATTCAATTTGTTATCTTTCAGAAATTATGTTGTTCAGTATATTATTGAGATGGAGAACCCAAGTGCCTCAACCAAACTAATTTCTCAGTTCAAAGGGAACTATGTAAACCTCTCCATGCAAAAATTTAGCAGTCACGTGGTTGAAAAATGTCTCAAGCATGTTGGAGAGAGCAGATCGAGGATAGTCCGAGAATTGCTGTCTGTTGCTCACTTTGAGCAGTTGCTGCAAGACCCATATGCCAACTATGTTGTTCAACGTGCCCTCGGAGTGACCAAGGTTTGAAACTTTATACATATGTGTTGAGATATATAGTCTCACATTGGTTGTATGAGCAACTAATGTGGAGTTTATAAGGCCTTGAGCACTCCACCCTTTGAGCTAGCTTTTGAGGTGGTGTATCCCAAGATTCTTTATCTGGTATCAGAGTCTCGCCGTCCCCCGCTTTCTCTTGTGGAATTTCTTAGCACAGATAGACTGGCATGTTGCATCATCTACTCTTCAAGCCCAATGGGCTCTCGTGAGGGGCGTGTTGAGATATATAGTCCCACATTGGTTGTATGAGCAACTAATGTGAAGTTGAATAAGGCCTTGGGCACTCCCACCCTTTGAGCTAGCTTCATACAACTAATGTGGAGTTTAATAAGGCTTTGGGTACTCCCACCCTTTGAACTAGCTTTTGAGGTGGTGTATCCCGAGATTCTTTATAATATGTATAGCTCTGCAATTTAGCATGCTTTGTTACTCATTTCAGGATTGCGATGCTTCCTCTCTTATCCCTTTTATTCTGAAACAGGGCACTCTGCATGCGTCTTTGGTTGAAGCAGTTCGCCCCCACAAAATCTTGCGCACAAGCCCATATTGCAAGAAGATTTTCTCACGAAATGTGCTTAAGAAGTGATGTTTGACATGCAGACAAATTATGTTGTTGTTCTCATAGTGAGTTACTACTATTCTCCTAATTAAACTCCTTTTGTTTTATGGCTAACTTAGCTACTAGTATATGTTGTATGTAAGTGTGTCCTCCAGAATCTGAGACTAATATAACGAAAACACATCTAGCCTCTATCCCTCGTGATCCAGAGTCTAAAAGTTCCAAAGGCAAGTTTTGTTTTCCAGATGCTTATGATGCAGCTGTATCTTGTATCATTTTGTTGTCCTATGGATGTGTGACTGGAATTTTGATAGATTCCTACTTTCTGCAAAATTTATCATATGGAGGTGAGAGGTTTGTCTTATGTTTGAATATCCAACAATAGGTGTAATGGAATAGAAAATGATGCAATGGTTTAAATGGAATGGAATCAAATTATGGCACTATTGTTTGAATATTTTTTATGGAATAGAATGAAATTTCTATTTCATTGTTGGAGAAGCAAGTGATTACATTTCATTTTCTTCTATAATCTTATCATCGTATATGTTTATATTTCCTTTAATCCCAAAATAATATTTTAACCAAAAACTCTCTTCACCATATTTTGATTATATACACTGATGAGTGATGTTTTCATTAAACTTAAAGAAAAATGTATGATTGTTGAAATACTTCCGTACATTAACTTTTTTTACGTTAACAAACAGCGTAACAATGAGGAATTTGAATCTCTTTTAGTCGCCTTTTTAATTGTTATAATAATTATCATCACAATTTCTCTACTCATGTTTCTGAAATTATTATAAGTTGGGAAATCAATATCTTTATGATTATTTAATAATTATTCTTTTATATTTTTAGTTTTGGCTGTTGGGTTTAATTGAGATTAATTGCTAATATAATTATTTTACATTATCAATTAATTATATATCGTTATATCATTAATTTTTTTAACTATATTAATAACTATGCAGAAAGTCATATACTTCAAAGGATTTAGTAACAAAAATTGAATAACAAAACAAAACAAAAATTTATACATTAACGTTCTATCAAAGTTAAATTCGTGGTTGTTCAAGGTCGAATGTACAATTTCCTAGTTCCAAGGCGAAAACAAAATCAAAAGACTGGATTGCTTCGCTTCACTAAACTTTATGAATGAAATAATATCGAAAGAGAGTTGGGGGCACTTGGGTTAAAGTTCTTGAGCCATTATCTTTATATTTATTTATGGAAAACATATAACTCACAATAACACAAACCATAGCTTAGAGAAAATCCTATATCTAAAAATGTTCAAAAACCTTACAGGGAATTCCAAGTGTAGATTGAAAAGATGTTTGCATGATCGGAAAAATAACATGCAGGAGAGTTCAGGTGACAAACACAACCACGTTGTCTATATATTTAACTTAGGAAATCTAAATCACACATATGTTGCAGCCTTGCAGGATTCCAAGTATATGGCCCTCAATCAATTCTGAGGATTTCAAAACCCACCCGAGCTAATGTTGTCAATTATTCAACATAATGTTGTCTATTATGTTGTGTATTATTTCAAAAACACATGAAACCATCAAACCAGCACGCCATAGTAGTTCTGTTATAAGCATAACCATACACACACAAAGGAATAAATCAAGCATCATCATGTCCTAACAGTGCCAAAAGCATTTTTTCATAGTCACCGGTTGTGTCCTTGGCAATGGCTCGTTCAAGAGGTACACTGTTCCTCCTTTGATACTCATCTGCTATAATTTTCAAATCAACCTCCGCCCTTGTGGCCACCACTCTTGTAAGGGCTCCTTCATCTGTCCCTCGCTCGTTGATAGCCAAACGAACAATCTTCTCAAAGTACTTCTCAGGACGGATCAAGCACTTGACAGTGGCTCTCAGTAAAGCCAGGAACTCATCCTTTGGATCAGCTTTCAGGTCCTGCAACATTGGCTCACAAAATTAAGTTCAATCTAATCAGTTTCCATTAAACTAAAATTGGGTGCTGTTATAACTCCTAAGGCTAATTGAGCTGTGGCGTGAGCAAGTCAAATACATAGGTTCTTTTTTTTGGTTGCAAATACATAGGTTCTTTAAGTGTCACAAAAGTAAGATGAAAGGATGCAATTTAGGTAGCATCTAATGATTTGAAAGAAATATAAGATGAACTATTTACCTTGTTGATATCTTTTCCAAATTCATTTTTGTAGTGATTCAAAGTAGCATTAATCTGGGCTTTGCTCCTTGTGGCCAAAATCCTAATGAGGTCGTCATCATTATAAGCCTTCTTTGAAATCTTCTCGTGCAGTAATTTTGCCTCAGTTTTTGCAAGAGTCATGTTGACCTCATCTCCTTCATATCGATAAGAACTAACCAGAGGTAGTAGGAGCTAGAATGACAAAATGTTAGCAATTTTTGACCATTTGAAATGAAGACAGTGAGAGAAAAACTAAGATAACTTGAAAGAAAATCACAATTATAGTTCAAAATTCCTCACTATCAAAATACAAAATAAAATTTCAGTTCAAGTTTTAAAGGATATGATCTACATCTGGTGTGAATTGTATAATAGCCATAACCTAAGTAATTAGCAAATTACATGTAATTAAATAATTAAGCATGTTTTAGTGAGTAAAATTAAGTATAAAGCTTAATTAAATGAATTTGAGTCACTTTGAAGTTAAAAAGTGTACTCAGTGAAAATTAAGGGGTATAAAAGGGTACTGGCAAAAGTGCCCAAAATATAAAAATAAAAATAGTAATATTTCTAGAATAATATTCCAGACTTTTGGGTAAAGTTTGGTAATTAATGGAGTTGAATAGATAGACGAACCAATACCCACATAAGTCACTTAACTAAGTAAGTGACTTAAAAACACAAAAAGAACCCAATTCCCACCCAATTTCCGTCGAGCCAGAAAGAGAAGAAAAGAAGAAGAAGGAGAAGGAGGAGAAAGGGAGAGAGGAGGGAGCAAATCTCAACCGATTGGAGTGATTCAAAAGCCTAAACCACTCTAAATCTTCTCCTCTTTCATAATCCTAGCTTAATTCTTAGTGGGGAGTTTTGTGTGGTGAGATATTGGCTCTCAAAAATTCGCCCATTTGGTGAAATTTGGGGTTTTGAGTGCTTCAACCTCCATTGAAGCTTGAGGAGCCATCAATCCTTGGTTGTGCAACCGTTGGTGGTAAGATTCTACCCCTTGAACCTCATGATTCCTTGAAATTGCATGAGTTAGGGTTTATGAATAGTGTTTTAGGGTTTTTGATGAAATGTTGTTAAATTAGCTATGTTCTAGGAAGAATGGAGCTTAGAGCATGTTGTGAAAAATGCTAGGAACGACGTTTAATCGGTGAAAATGAGCTTAAATAGCTAAATGAGTATATTTGGAAAATGGCAAGAATATGATGCTTGATATTGGACTTTCTTGCAATTGTACTCAATGGTTTGGTTGATTGATGATTGTGTCCTAATGATGTCTAGGATTGAGGCATTTGGACCAACCGTAAGTGATCAACCATTGGAGCAAGCTATGGAGCTTGATTAGCTCCATTGGATAGGTGAGTTCATGCTTATGTTTGGTATGAATTGTATAGCTTGGTTGATAGCTATGAGATGTTATTGGATGCAATATGTGTTAATTGCATTAAACCTTGTGTAGGTTTTGTTTGAGAAGTGGAGTATTGTAATTAACGGGATGTAGAATCCGTGGGTGGTGAACAAAGGTCGAATTGAAGCTTGAGGTAAGCCTTCGGACCTTGGTTGTAATTCCCTTGACTGTTCCACCAAGCCCTGAAAGGGTAGAGGTTGTGATTGTGTATATAAATGCAATAAAATAGTGTAATGCTTTGTTATACACATGTGTATGCATTTGGTGTGGCATAGGATGGTGTTTCCCTATGTTGGTATGTTGCATGACGATGCGTAAATCATACTTGGTAGTTAGCTGGCCAGTAGGACTATTTGCATCTGAGTTTCCTTAGGACAGCTTGAGAGCTCGAGAGATTTCTCCTAGAGATGGTATTGCACATTGCATAGATATGTAGTTACTAAATTATTATTGTTATTGCTATTACACTGATATGGAACTGTGGGGTGGAGAGATGCTCCAAGGACCCCTGGTTTACTGGATATATTCGTATATCTCACCCCGTGTTGTGGGGACCCCCTTTCAGGTAAGGATGCTGCAGGAGCCTCTGGTGGCAAGTGGCCATATCTGGATTAGCATATGCATGAAGTGTTGCATTTTTTTGAGATTATACATGTTGTTTTGTAGCTCACATGTATAGAAGTGTAATTAATAGGCAATGATAGATTTATGATTGGTATATTGGAATGGACTTAGCCTATGCTCATGCCTTTGGTCATCTTTTGTTGATGGGAGCCAAGGGAATGATCATAGTGTTTTGTAAGCTAAGTTCCATGATTTGTAATGAATATGTACTGTAAATGATGCCTACTTGAAATTCAATATATGCATGCTTGTTATGTATTGAGTTATTGAATTGGTTGGGCTGAGAATCAATTAGGTACCTTTTGTTTAAATTGGGAAACGTTGAGAAAACAAAGGTTATGCTACCCAAATTCTAGCTAAATCTCATGAGGAGAGGTTGAGTGAGTGCTAGAATTAAGTTTTGAGGCATGAACCATTGGGGTTTGGAATGGGGATGCATCTTCCCCTAGACTTGGACTTGAAAAATGAGGGTAATGGAATTCCCTGGCGCGCTTTAGCGCCCTGGAGCGCGCTTTAGTGCCCTGCTGTCCCTGTGAGAGCCAATGCTTTCGGCCTCCTCGCGCTGGAGCGGCCAGAGTGGGGGCTTAAGCGCCCAGGGTCGAGCGCTTGAGCGCCCTGGTTCGCGCTTGAGCGCCCTCAGCCGCTGTATGAGGAGATGCTTCTGCCTCTGCGCGCTAAAACGTCCCAAATGGGGGCTTAAGCGCCCAGGATAGCGCGCTTGAGCGCCCTGGTGCGCGCTTAAGCGCCTAATTATACTGAAAAACCTTATGCTTCCTGCCTCCGTGCGCTTAAGCGCCCAGATGGAGGCTTTAGCGCCCGATAACGCGCGCTTGAGCGCCCGGTAGCGCGCTGAAGCGCGCGAGGCCTGTGATCAACACCTTCTTGTGTTGCTTCCAATTGTCATAACTTGGGCTACAGTGCTCCAAATGAGGAGCGGTTTGAAGCCACGAGTAGCTAACGAAGAGATCTACAATATAGTAGAAGTTGTGAAATAAATAAGAAGTAAATTAATGGTTTTAAAAATGGACTAAGAACATGATGTTAAGCTTGATTTATCTGATTCCGCAAAGTAATATGGTTATAATCACGCAATTGGATATTTTAAATTCGACGTCGTTTTAAAAAGAAAAATTTATCCGGATTTTTAATTGAGCCAATGTGATTGTAACTGCGCTTAATATCATAATGCGATGTTAACAAACCGATTCTAGAACGGGGTGTTACAAATTGTTTCTGGCAGAAGGAAGCTCGAAAACACTAGACAATAATATTTCAATGGAGTTGAGGCTAATCAGTATTGCCACAGTTAGAGTATTGTGTGATCAGTAAAGTAGCTATAAACCATGAGCCCAAGCATCAAGTCACAAGTCAAATTTCACACATACAAATTGGATCTCATTAGTTCTGTTCAAACATCAATTGTCTATTGCATCACTAACACAAATTGATCTTACTGTAATGCACGTTTCCCTAAAATAATACTTAAGCAATCTAGTCTGACCAAACAATTGATCAGAGCATTGCACAAGATCGGATAAACAGTTATTGATTACAATTAACTGTCAATGTCAACATGCAATTTACTCCTAACTATTTTTAATTCAGTGAAAAACACTCTTGAGTCTTGAGAACCCTTTGAGGGGAACTATAATGCACAAATATGCCATATTCATAACATTCATAAGCCAGGAGTGGAATATAAACAACAGGAGTCTACAATGTTTGTTTCAACAAATAACAAGGTTATGGTCGGGTATCAATACCTTACGGAAGTCCCCTGTTGTGTGATGAGCAACATCCTCCTCAAGAGACTTCTTATAAAGAGCATGATAAGCCTTCCTCGCAAAAAACAATTGTTCAGAGGACCGAGTGCAGGCTATTTCCACCAGAACTTGATTGCTTGAAGTCCATCTTTTAGTTGCTTCGATTGCCAAAAATGCATCACATTCAGCGGAACCAAGTGTCCAAAGATGAACCAGCCTCTAGTGAGGAGAAAATTCAAAAGTGCACATCAGTTTCATAAGCCAAAAAAGAAGAAGAAAAAGCTGTATGTTGTTCCTAAAGGTTATCAGTTTCCATTCCCAAAACATTTTGACCCCAAACCTCAGTTTTAACTAGAACTGTGTGTTAAAATTTCAATTAACCATCTTCAGGTATGAAAAGGAAAAAACTCTGTTCCTGAACTGACCTCAAAGTCATTCGTCAGCTCTTTGTCCAAAGCTTTGAGGAGATCTTCTCCATAAGTCTCGGCATAAGTTTCTCGAATAAGCTTCCTTTGACCAGCATTCCTATGAGCCAAGATCGATATAATCAGTCCCTCATTAGTTCCCTAACCTGCAATCGCATTTGATCAATTGGAAAATCATCAAAAGTCAAACAAATGGAAGCAAGAATGTATAAATGTTTCAAACGAAATATAACACACCATCCTCAAAACCAAAAACAAAATCACAATACATGAAATGGATGATTTTATAAAATATTTCGGAAAAGCATAATCGCTCATATAAATAGAGTGATCCAAAAAGTGATCACTTCACAAATCAACAATACATTCCACTATTCCAGCCTCATATTAACAACCTCTACTTTTTCACATCGCATACATGATCGAACACATGATCGAACCACTAAATGATTACAAATGAAGAGAAACAACAGGTATGGTATTGAATAATCTGCTTAATTAAGACTAATTTGTACGGATGATTTGAAGAAAAGGGCTGTGATAATGATCAGAATGGTAAAACCTGCGAAGGCTTTCCGGAGCTGCTCACAATCATCGGCAACCGGGGGAAGAGGTTGAGGGACTCTCAGCGTCGACATTGTTTTTTCACTCTCTTAACTCTTTCTTTCACACCCACACCCACACTCTCTGCCCTGATTTGATCGAAAACGCATCACAAAGGGGACAGCACGTTCGTTTTTATGTGTAGTTGACGTCAAATGTGGGTGTCCCACGTACAACTGTGTGAACATTGAATTTGCCATTTTGAGACATTGCCACGTCACATATTATCCTGATTTCCCGGTTCTCTTTTTCAAGATAAAGAAAAATATAATTGTCTGTAATCAATACAATACTTTTAAGGTGGATGGAAAGATGATGAGTTTGCAAAGAGGATAGTTCAGTTCAAGGCCAAATCTTTCACTGTTTGGGCAAGACAGGAGCAAAGGCCATATATGAATTAGTGAAATGGGCCACAAAGTAATGGTCCTATTGGTAGTGTGAAAGTTTTTACTTTCTGGTTTCTTTCTACATGAAAGAAAAAAAGATTTTATAATTTTCATTTAATATAAGAATTGAAATCTTTCTATATGTTGACGTGAGTTTTATATATAATTTTTTTTAACATATGAGTTTCACATATTTTTTGTCTGTACAACATAAAATTTTAATTCTTATATAACTTGAGAATTATAAAACCCAAGAAAAAATCTCCATGATTGAATTGGCACTCCGATGGGGACTATAAAAGTAGAATTTCTTGTATACCCTCCAGATATTGTACTACTTTGCTAAAAATTTAATATATGACACTACATAATTATGTATATAATTGAATTGAAAATTGTTCGGTAGGATTGAACCATACAATGATACTTTTTTTTGGTTTCTCAAGGTATCCTCCGGTCGACAACCGAAGACTAATCCTTTCGAGTATGCATTTAGAGATATTTTAGAGATAGAGATATCTTGGTTGACTTATAGTCAATCTCTCAATCACTATGCATAAACAATAAACTCATAGCTATGACGTAGGTATGTGCAAAGTGTTGACAATAATGGTGCATAGGTTAAAAGTATGTACCTGAGTTCTTTAGCTTTTTATTTATTGGAATTACCTCTTGGACTTGAGCTGTGTAAATCTCTTATTTAATGTCGGATTTAACCTCTTAAGGGATATAGATTTTATCTCCTTATCTTTATCATCTCATGTTGTTGAGAACAATGTGCCATTATTCATTAAGAGATATATGAAATATGTGGTTAAGATATGCATATATTTCATAACAAAAATAAAATATAATCAAACTAAATATTGATTACTACAAAATTTTATGGATAACTACCAAGAGGGTATATTAAAAATTCTAGGTACCGATTGTACTAACTTTCCCCATGAATTGGTATGTGGATGCCCTCCATTGGTGCCATATACACAAATTTAGATGCCTATGTTTGGCAAACCAAACATCCAGTTCAAAATTAAAAAATAGTAAAAAATAAAATAAAATTGAATGCCCTGTCGAACTAGCAATAAATGTATAGTGCGCCTAGGTTTCCCTTTTTCTCTGATTTAGGCACATCTACATAAACTTAACTTAGCCATTTGGGTACAGTAAAATCAACCCGTACACTTTTGTCAAGCACATTTTAAGAACATACTGAAATTTCTCGATACACAACATAGTTGGCACAAAAGGGGACGTTTACAGTGCACCAGATTATCTGTAGACAACGGTTGGATATGAAGCAAAAAAAATCCACGGCCACCATCAAATATTGGCTACCCATTGTGCAGGTTGTTGAGATATATAGTCCCACATTGATTGTATGTACAACTAATGTGAAGTTTATAAGGCCTTGGGCACTCTCACCCTTTGAGCTAGCTTTTGGGGTGATGACCTCAAGGTTCTTAACTGCCCAGTAGGCTCTCGTGTGAGGGGACGTGTTGAGATATATAGTCCCACATTGATTGTATGTGCAACTAATGTGAAGTTTATAAGACCGTGGGCACTCCCACCTTTTGAGCTAGCTTTTGGGGTGATGGCTCCGTATTGTATATATTATTTTGTTGCCTAAAGAAGTGTCATTACTTTAATTTAAAATTTCTTTTATCATTAATTTAATCTTTTAATTGTGAAAAATGTTATCAAATTGATACTTTACATCTGAATAAGTATAGTGAATTCCTGATTTAAAAACTAATTTGATGATATTTTACATGATTAAAGGACTAAATAATAAAAAAAGTATATTAATAAGGGAATAATTGAATAATTTATATTAAAATTTAAAGACTATAATAATAACATTATACAGACTAAATTAATAACAAAACTCTTCTTTTAGATACTGTTGAGATATATAATACCACATTGGTTGTATGTGCAACTAATGTGGAGTTTATAAGGCCTTGGACACTCCCACCCTTTGAGCTAGCTTTTGGGGTAGTGTACCCCAAAGTTCTTTTGATCGTACAACTATAAAGTGATTGTAAAAGAAAAATGTTGTAAATATAAACTATTTCTATAAAAAAAAACTGCAATATGAGATAAAATTATTTTCAATAATTTTAAAACGACATCATTTTGAGATTTAAAAAAATATATAGAATATTTTAATAATTTTACTAAAATACCCTACTTTTTTTTTCTCAAACCCTGAAACAATTTTGGGATTGCATGATAACATATATCATGCAGGAGAAACATTAATCCCATAAAAAAATGAAAATAATTTAAATTTTCAAAAGAAAAAGCCAAAAAAAATCATGTATGTAGATAGCATGGAATTATAAAAATACAAAATAAATAAGAGGAGAGATATTCTCACTACCAAAATTTTTCGCTACCAACTTATTACCTATCTAATCACCATTAGATTAATATTTTCTCTCTCTTCAAAAACTTTTTAACATTCTCTCTATTTGATACAATAGTGATGTGATGAGTAATAAGTTAGTAGTAAGAATTTTTGGTAGTTAGAATATCCTCACTCAATAAATAAATAAATAAAATAAGGAAAAAATATTTGTCCTTTTTAAAAATATAAAAAAAAAATTATAAGAGAAACACACAAACTAATATTTTTTTATTTAAAGTTTAAATTAAAAAAAATCATCCACTTTTTTATGATAATTTTGCTTGTATCTTTTTCTCAGTTACGTAACTTTATGTTAAGAAACATTAAACCCATAAAAAAATGAGAAAAGTGTTTATCACTTATATCTTTTCATTCTCACGAAGGGGTGAGATCTACATCTTAATTTTTTTTTCTCAACTCTCTCTCCTCTTTTATCTATCTCTTAAAATTTTAAGACACGACTTTACATCATTTTAAAATGACATACAATTTCTCAAAAAAAAAAAAAAAAAACATAAACGCACACGCCCCCAGGTCTATAAAACAGAAGCCACGCTCTAGTCATGAACGTCCTTGCAAGGGAGAGATACACACTATATATAGCAGTTTTGGTGCTTGGAACCCGTGAATAGAGAGAACAAAACCACCAAAATGGCCGTTGGGGGATTCGCCGTTGATGCTCCAGCCAATGGCTTAAACGGCAAGATAACACTATCAGTTGTCATTACTTGTATCGTTGCCGCATCTGGTGGACTCATTTTTGGATATGACATCGGAATTTCAGGTTTTTTTTTTTCCCGTAACAATTTCTTTTGGTCCAAAATTTCCCCCATTTATAGTGTTTTAATCCCTCTCTCTAAAGCATCCATATGTACATGATATTTGATTTCACAATTAAGGGTCTGCTTTTAGTCCTTAAATCATGAAGAAGCCACAATAGCAGAATAATTGAAGGAACGTTTTGATCGGTTTCTGCTAGTTTCGGGTAATGAATTCCTATCATTAAGAGAAAGAAAAAGCTTATTGTGGTTGGCAACGGCACTCACATTGTTTGGTAGATGGGGACCAATTTGTCTTGTCTATCAGTCTTCCTCTAAACGTCAACTTGTTTTTTTTTTTTTTTTAAATAGATATTTATAGTTAGGGAGGGGTTATACTTTCTTTTATATATTTTATTTTAAAAAGAAAAAATAACTTAGAATGTGTATTTTTATTTCATTGTTTAAAATATAATATATTAATATCATTAAAGGTTCTTAAAACTATTACACAAAATTTAATATCATAAAAGAATGGCAAGTAAGTCAGTACGTCTGGTGTATTAGTAAAGGGTTTGAGTAATTTATTAGCCTAGAAGTGAGGGGCTTCAAATCTTGGTGATATCATTACATATAAAAGAAAAAGTTAAGTTTTTTTTTTTTTTTTTTTTTCATTTGGCAATTTTATCTAAATAAATAATTGCATTATTTATGTAAAAATCTTATTGAAGGTTCTAACGAAACTGGTCTAAATAAATGAAAATGATGGTGTTATACAATTTCAGGAGGTGTGACTACGATGGAACCATTTCTAAAAAAATTCTTCCCAGCAATATTGAAAAAGGCTGCTGGCGCCGAAACAAACATGTACTGTGTGTATGATAGTCAGGTGTTGACATTGTTCACATCTTCTCTCTACCTAGCGGGGTTAGTGTCATCTCTCCTAGCCAGCCAAGTCACCAAGTCGTTGGGTCGGAGAAACACCATGATCTTCGGCGGTTGCATCTTTTTTGTGGGTGGAGCCATTAATGGTGCTGCTGCAAATATTGCTATGCTCATCTTGGGTCGTATCTTGCTCGGCCTTGGGGTCGGTTTCACTAATCAAGTAAGTAAAAACCCATATATAATTATTTTAATAACTTCTTCAAATTAATGATAATATAACGAAAGCTGTGTACAGATTAATGAAAAATAACTTTCTTTGTTTTTATTGTAGTGTATAAGATATGGGTTTTATAATAAGGCGAATTGAGATCTCAGAGATAAAAAGTATGTGGGACCCATGTGTTAGAAAAAATTATATGTAAGACCTATGTCAGCACGGAAATCGAAAGGTGTGTAGAAAAATTACAATTCTCATATTAAATGAGTATTATAAAACCCATAAGATATTAGAGAAATATAATATAAAACAGGTTCATTATTTATTAACTTAAATTTTGGATGAGATAATTGTTTATCATATTATAAGAGCACCAGTTTGATCTCTCGCACAAAAAGATGTGTTAAAAAAATATAATATAAAATAATTGAAAATCAATTAGTTAGCATTGAAACACTAAGGGTGCGTTTGTATTGACTTTTTAAAAAAGTCTTTTTTATTATTTTCTTATTTTAAAAGTAATTTCTATAAAAGTTATAGCTATTTAGATTTTTTAAAAAATATTTGATTTTTGAAAAAAATATTTGACTTTTGAAAAAAATATTTGACTTTTGACTTCTATTTTTTTTAAAAGCTAAAGTATTTAGTTTCTAAAAAAAGTAAATTTTTGACTTTTTTATGACTTCTGCTTTTTTTAAAAGCAGGCATCTAAATAGACTTTTTTCGAGAAGTATTTTTTTTTTTTAAAAAAAATAATTTTTGAAGATAAAAAAGCTCATCCAAAGAGCCTCTAACTTCGGTAAAATTTGATCTTTACAATTTCAGATTGTGAGTCCGAAGCCTTATGCGGTAAACAAAAAAAAAAAGACATGAAAAGACAAACTTAAAAAATATTTGTTTTATGAGTCTCTAAACTTTCAAGTTGCTTCACCTTCGATAGTACTTTAATCCTGAAGTTTAGTGTTTTGCACTTTTGCTTCAGAGGATCGATATTTTGTTGAGATTTAATCTTTACCTATACTAAATTTTCTCTTTATAATAGTGGTCCTTTGGGCCATTTCCTAGTCCATATTCTTGCTACTAATGTTCCTTTTAAGTGTGCAATTATATGAGTTAACTCCCTGTGGATTGCTGATGGAGAATTACAGAGTGAATTATTCCCCTTTTTAACTATCAAAGGAAATGACAAATACCCAGTCCCTCCTCCCTTGTTAAATTGAACCTTCGGGATTCAATTTTTTTCTCCCCTTTACCTGTCTCATTTCCTGTGCTTCCAACTGCATTTTAGTATCTATAGTCTATTAACGAAACTTTGTGATTTTTCATGTTACAATTAGTAAAGGCTACGCCGGTGTACCTTTCAGAAATTGCTCCACCAAAATGGCGAGGTGCGTTTAACACAGGCTTCCAATTCTTCATAGGAGTTGGTGTGGTGGTTGCCAACTGCATAAACTATGGCACCGCCAGGCACACGTGGGGTTGGCGTCTTTCCCTTGGACTCGCCACTGTTCCTGCAACCGTTATGACAGTTGGTGCCTTCCTAATACCTGACACTCCCAGCAGCTTGGTGGAACGTGGCAAGATAGACCAAGCAAGACATGCCCTTCGCAAAGTGAGAGGTCCCACAATTGATGTGGAACCTGAATTGGAACAAGTGATTACGTTGTCACAAGTTTCAAAAGTCATGGAGCAGGAGAGCTTTATGACCATATTTGAGAAGCAGTATCGACCTCAATTGGTGATGGCATTTGCTATCCCGTTATCTCAGCAGCTTACGGGGATCAACATTGTCGCATTCTATGCACCTAACCTCTTTCAATCTGTGGGTTTTGGCAACGACTCAGCATTACTTTCAGCAATTATACTTGGACTCGTCAACCTTGCTTCTATCCTAGTATCTGCTGCTTTTGTTGATCGATTTGGTCGAAGATTCTTGTTCATACTGGGTGGCATTCAAATGCTTATCTGTCAGGTAACCAAATTATGCTTTATATAAAATATACATACATATACATGTACCTAGCTAGAGTTGCAAGGCTACTAAATGGTCCTTTTTGGAATGATTACTTTTTAAAGGGGTAGTTTATATTTACAAACATTCGGTTTACAAACTATACTACGTATTACGGGTAATATATGCTCAAGTAGTATATACTACCCGTAGTATATAGTATAGTTTGTAAGAGTTTATAAAAAAAAATCTGTAAATATAATTCTGCTCTCTTTTAAAATAGATTATGAGAAAAAAACTCTTGGTGACGTAAAAAAACTGTTCAAATATTACATAAAAAAATTCTCTGTTTTGTTAATCCAAACTGGCCCTAAACAGTATTAGAGGGATCACATACCATATATTTGTTGCAATATGACCTTAATTAAGGTTCAAATTGATTTCATATATTGTGCATATGCTGTGTGTTAATCTGTGGTATCATTGTGAAGATTGCGGTATCTGTTGTGCTAGCAATGGTTACTGGTGTTCATGGCACAGAGCACACGTCAAAGGGCAGCGCTATAATGGTACTGGTGCTACTGTGCTTCTACGCTGCAGGTTTTGGTTGGTCATGGGGCCCTCTCTGCTGGTTAATTCCAAGTGAGATTTTTCCCTTGAAGATCAGATCCCCAGGACAAAGCATAGCCGTTGCTGTGCAGTTCTTAATGGTATTTGTTTTGTCCCAGACATTCTTGACAATGCTATGCCACTTTAAGTTCGGGGCTTTCCTGTTTTATGCGGGTTGGATTGCAGTGAGCACCATCTTTATTATACTGTTCTTGCCCGAGACCAAAGGAATTCCTCTGGATTCAATGTATGCGATATGGGGCAAACACTGGTATTGGCGTCGGTTTCTTGTTAAAGGACAAGTGAACCAAGTTGATCTTACTTGAATTATTAGCGCATGTTTGTAAGCAAAATAAGAAAGTTGTTTGCCTCTTCCTCTAGTATGGCTACAAGAACTATGTACATACATGCATGAAATTTTACTACAATAAACGCCTTTCTGATCATAGAGAGAGTATGTTATTTGTATGGCATGCGCTTCCGTTTGGATCTAGTTTTTCTTCACTGCGAGAAGTCCTTTACTGTTTTTTTAATAATCACCTTAATTATCTATTTTAGCAGATTCAGTCTAGGCTTTGAACTCTTTAAACTGATTATGAGACTAATTCTAAATTGAAACTTAGTCACATTTGACTAACTCTGAATTAGAACTTAGTCACATTTAAAATTCCTCGTTTGTCTCCAAAAATATATTTGGTGGGATTTGTACATTGCTAAGTGTAGGGTTATATACATTGATCATTTTATGTTATCTTATGTGTAAGTTTGCACTATTTCATAATAAGGATTAATATTTCTTATGTTATAAGAGATAATTTATCACTTACGCACACGTAAAAGTGTGTGGGGCCCATATTTTTTTTCTCTTCTCTTCACATGATTTCACACGAACCTCACACACTTTTATATATATATATATATATATATATATATATATGGAAAAAATGTTTGTCATTTTAAATGATATAAGTTATGTCATTTTAGGAGAGAGATAGACACAAAAAATAAAAATCATAGAAGAGAAAAAATGGTTGATTTTTTTTTAATTTAAATTTTAAATAAAAAAAATTATTTTGTGTCTATCTCTCTCTTAAAATGACATAACTTTATGTCATTTAAAATGATAAATAAATTTTCTGTTTTTTTATATATATATATATATATATATATATATATATATAATAAAATTATGTCAGAAACAATAACCCCTTCATCATAATGTAAATGTATTACAATAATTTTATTGATTATTATCCTATGAATGCTTATTTGTGTGATAGATTTATTAAAATAATATTGTAAAATTAAGTTCGTACTTCGTATGGTGCATATAATGTTCATAAAATCTTATATTGTAATATTATTAAAATATCATGAAATTAACACATAATATATTATTTAAAAGGAAATTAAAATACTATTACTTGATCGTGAAATTTATATTTGTTTAAAATCTTCAGTTTTAACCGTGCCGCGGAAGATGCTTGTCAAATCAATAATCATATATATCAAGAAAGGGCATGTGCAGGAGAGAAAAGAAATCAGAGCATAAAGTCGCGGGGTGGAGACGCTGCTGCTAATGCTACTAAGTTCGCCACCATTACCATCGGTCGGCCATTTTAACGTGGTTCTGTATTCTTTAACCTCTCTTCATAAAACTGTTGGATGATAAAGTACAAAGGAGACAGAAGAGAAAGATGAAAGGTCTTTAATTTTATAATGGCTTTAATATTTCTAAAATGTCACGGCTAAAACGATGTCGTTTTGAGTTAAAAAATTAAAAAATTATAGTGAAAAAGATTATTTTAATCCTGAAATAAATTATAATTACAAAAATATCTTGATTTCCTCCTCAAAGCGACGTCGTTTTGGGCTCAATGTAAATAAATTATTTACATTAACCGTAAAAAAAGTGAACTATTTTATACTTACTTTTTGGATTTTATTAATCTCTCTTTACATAAAATAATTCTTTTATAGTGTAGAGAAAATAGGTGGATCCCACCATTACAAAAATAAGAAAAAAAGTGAGGTATAAAAATTAAAGTAAGAGATGAGAGAAGTTATCTTATGTTAAAAGAGAATAATATTTCTTTACTCTTTAACCAATGTTTTATGGTTGACAGCAATTTTCATAAAGGCAGGGAATTATATATATTTTAAAATGCAAAATCAAAAGAACCTTTTTTATTTTTTTTATGCAGGGACAAAATTATATAAATTTTAAAAGACTTATTTGTTACATGAAATATTGTACTATAGCTGAAATTGAAAGAGAGGGGTCAGATGCCTCGTGTAGCCTCTCTATCGGTTTGCCATTGTCTCCACAAATGCAAGTTTTTTTTTTTTTTTTTTTTTTGCTATAAAACAAGAGGGATAATCTTCTTGCTTAAGTCACACTTAAAAATAAACCCTTTTCCATTGACCTAAGACTTAACAGGCCTACAAATTTTTTTACAAATGACGTTCCTTAACGCTATAAAGTCATATCTCTGAACTGCAACATGTGCTACGGTTAATTTGCAACAGATGAAAGATGAGATTGACAAGTCATTCATACACTTTTCGTAAAAATAACATTGTGTTATATATAGTGGTACTCCAAAAAAAAAAAAATGTTATTCTCCCCGACTGTAAATATATCTTCAGAACAATTTAAGTAGTATAAATATAGACTAAATGACAAAATTTTCACAAGAAAATAATTACGTTTTTTTCATTTTATGTGGAGATTTGTTTTCTTTTTTGCAATAGATTCTTTGGATCAAAAGTGTTTAGTCTTGTAAAATTTAGTTAAATTTTTTTATATCAACCCTAATTATCTCTAGGCCTCCAGCTTATCCAAACAAAACAAAAAAACCGGCCTTCAGATATTCCAACAAGCTTAATCTTTTATATGACTAATTTTGAATCGTGGTTTAGTTATATTTTTATCCTTTTCCGAATATGTATTTGATAGAAATCAAACTCAATTTCTCTTCTCATCTACTTAACCTGCATTATCAACTGAGTTACACCCATCTGTTAATTTAGTTGAAATTTTTGGTCTCTCATAAATTAGCTCATCATTTTGGGCTGTTTAATAGCAAATGAGCTCTGGTTTCTGTTTTTCGGTCAACGGCTTCAAATGGGTTGCAAACAAGCTATGGCAAAAAATAGATGGCTTGGATCGAGTTTCAATTGATTATATTTTAGTTGGGTCTGTCAAGCATAGATGGATTGGGCCTTAAAAATCAGTCATATAGATTCATAGATTTGTGAGTGCAATCTTGCTAGTTTGGAACTGGGATGATCAAATTTTGACTAAACTCCAAATAATCATAATTTAATTAAGTAAAAATGTAGTTAATATGTTGACGCTACTTCTCTACTTACTACATATATTTGGTTAATTTATTCTCATATTGCTGTCAACTAAACCTACATCACTAAACATGTGTCATTGTTAATGAAAATATTTTCCTTTTATTATGGGCTAGGTATCCTACTCAGAGCATTGCTAAGTTACTAGACGTACCGTACCAGCACTCATGAGTCATGACCATTAGTTGGGTTTTATCACTTATCTCCTTTCCTATTAATCTGCAACCAGTTTAAACAAAAGGAACGTTTGTTAGGAGAAATTTTTTGTTATCAAAAAAAAAAATTTGCAAAGAATATGATAGGAAGAATTTTTTATCGGGTAAGTTAAAAAAAGATATTTAGTAAAACAAAATTTTTCTGAGAAAATTAGATGAATTTTACTATTACTATATTTGGTTGATTAAAAAATATTGAAGAAAATGTGAACCAAAAATACAAAATTACCCTCAATTGCATTTTGAATTCTAAATCTATTTTTTGTCTGTTATGAAACGTTCCTACCCCTTATACTCTCTCTCTCTCTCTCCAGCTTCGTATGTTTCTTTGTTTATATTTGCTTGGGTAGTTTTCTTTACCATCTCATTGATGGTCATCTTCCAGTTGCCTTTTGTGTGCAAAAAAATTTGATGGCTACAAAACTTTCCAACCACTTTTTTATCTTTCCCTCCTACCAAACATGGTTAGTCTTTTTTCTCTATCCTACTTTCTAGGGCAACTTTTATTTTCCATCCTACCAAACATCCCCAAAAGGTCAAGATATATGCCCTTGTTAAGTAGGAAACTACAAGTATACAATTGCCTCCCGGTCTGTAAAATTAGCCACAGTCGCTTCACTTCTCAGCCATCGTTGCAACCATACATGGAGGAGAATTGCTATGAGGCATCCTCAGTCACAGTGGTTGACAAATCAAGTATTGGTTTTTTTAATAAAGCAATTAGTGATATGATTGAGGGAGAGATCAATTAAATTATATTGACCGATAGAAAATTCAAAATATTTCCGTTATTATCATGTTCTTAATTTTTTTGAAAAATAATTAGGATTACATTTCATTATCAATTATGATTGATTTTGTAATTATTTAATTTTTTTTTTTACTCATAAGCTACCTGTATAAATTATAATCACCAATCAATCAAGAACAAATAATTCACATATGCATCTCTTGAATGTAAACAACGATTGTTCAAATCTCGGTTCAGATCGTTGGTGTTATTTGCAGAAAAGTTGACTCAATATTATGGAAAATGTTATATTTATAAAAAAAATTTGTTACAAACTACACTGTGTCTTACTGATAAGATATTAGACATAATGTAATTTGTAGGTTTGTAAAAAAAAAATTTGTCAATATAACCTTCCTCCCATATTATTACATTTGCATGGTTAATGTTGGGAGAACCATTGCATATATACCAGAACCATAGTTAGAAAAAAAGGCCCTCTTTGATTACTGTTTCTAAAAACAGATTTTTGGTTTTCATAACGAAAAAAATAAAAAATTCCTTTTAATAAGATCTCTTTTGTAAAAAAAAAAATTAAAAATTTGTAACTGTTATTTGCTTTTAGAATCAAATTTAAAGAACATGTCTAAGTTATTTTTGTTTTGTATTTTGATTTTTAACTTGTAAAACAAAAAATACACAAAACATATGTTTCCATAACTATTCTCCCCGAAACAATTTTAAAAACAAAAAATCAAGAACACAATCCGACAAACCAAGTCACCCCCGCAATGGATAAGAGGTCTGCCTTAAGTGTAACAGCCTGTCAGCCTTCAAACAACATGTGAATGATAAATTAATGAGTTATTCTTATTCATAGAAATTCTAAAAATAATAGGTCTATTTTATGATAAAATTAAAATTTAATTCCTACATAAGTAAAAGGATGTAAATATTCCAAATACATAAGAATAAATGTCGTCTAATTATTACAAAAAAAAAAAAAAAAATTGTCGTCTAACACAACTATTACAAAGATAACCCTCCTAAATTTATATTTCGAATAGATAGAGAATTAAAATATGAAAATAATAATAATTAAAAAAAAAAAAACAGTAGAGC